ATGTCAAAAAATGAAGTAACAGATATTTAAATATGCAACGAAAACATTCGATGCTAAAGTGTGTTAAAGTTAAATAAGATCTGTAGGATGTTTTGAGTGGATACATGTCACATGTAATGAAGTAACAGATAATATTGTTTGTCAAACAAAAACAAACCATTAATCTGCATCTTTTTGATTTTTTGTCAAATTTTGTCTTGATGACATCTGATGAAGCTTTTTTAAAGTGGAACATTAGAAAAAAGACCTGTTTTTGTATTTGCCCTTTATCCATGAGGTATTTGTTTGTATTCCTATCCAAACAAAGAGTAAATTAGTAAAGTTAATGATATAGAGTGGCAAAATCCCTTTGCTAACTAAATTTTAAAGATGCATTAATCTACAAATCACTCGATGAATGTTATGATCCTTGCTTTTTAAAATTATAAACTGTATAAGATCTTTCTTTAATACACAAATACTTTCAACTATACATTCAGTCATCTTCAGTCATGGAAATTATTTTGTTTTTGGTAAAATTCAGGTATTATCCGAGATGAAAAAATATAATGTGAATCGAAATATCTTCTTTTTTTTTTTTTTTTTAAAAAAATGTGTTATTGATAATGGATACAAACTTGTGGAGCATGCAGTTGCAATGCTAAGGTTGAAATTTTATATATATGGCTGCTTGATAACTGCACTAGTGTGAAGCTCAAATAGCAGTCTGAACTTTGTCTCTTTTTGACTAATGTAAAATTTTAAATATTTGCTTTATTTTTTTATTTAGACAAAAAAAATTTAGTTATTATAATAAAACCCAAAATATGATTTTTTATCAGTTATTAAATTTTTTTCCTTTTTTGAATTTTTTATTTTTTATTTTATTTGGTATTAGATTGAAAAATATCTTGTTGGTTTTACCAATACTTTTTTTGTGATTTGTGTATGTGTGTGTGTATATATATATATATATATATATATATAAATATGAAAAAAATTTTTTTGATTCCAAATATTACTTATATTAGAATAAAACCAGCTAAAAAAACCAACATGCACCATGTCATAAGTAACTTTGAATGTTAAAATTCTTTAAGAAATATCTTTACATTTAAATATATAAATCAATAATTCTTCTGCTTAACCCTTTAGCATTCAACCCACTCAAACCTCCCCAGTAAATATGAGATTTCAATGTTTAATTGAATGTAAATTTTCAAATTTATTTCAAAGAAAAAAAAATAATGTCTTCAATGCTGTGTGTATGTGTGTGTAAGATTCTCTAAGCTTAGTTCTAATCTTGCATAATGCCAGAATTGTACCCAATGAGGATTAAACACAATAGCAGCAAACTGAATGACAATACTTGCTATTTTATAGCATACTGTGTGTGTGTGTGTGTGTGTGTGTGTGTGAAATGATGATTTTAAACTTAAAACCCTTGAATGTCTGGTTATACATTTTTAAATGAATACCTCATTCAAAATGGGTGAAGTTTACCTTTAAAGTAAACATGAGCAATTCTAACTCCTGCAAATAAGTTAAAATAGTTATTTGACAAACTATAAGGCATTTGGGATAAAATAAAGACTTGTGACTTTCATTCAATTGAAAAACATTGAGATTAGAAAAGAAAAAATTATTTACACATAAAATATTATCCTCATCATTGTTGTTGCTATCACAAAGTTTGGGCCATTGTGTCCACTAGCCATCATCAGGTGTTTGTTGATCTGGGTAATTTCAGAGAATTTTGAACTGAACCCTTTATATAATCTATGGGGGTAGATTCATTTTTTGTTGGATTGGCCATTTTTAAGGATATTTAATCAGTCTTTTTTAGTAGAAAGTTATTGGTTTCTGAAGATGGATTTCAAGGTTATATGCTTATCATGAACAATGACTTGTGACATGTGCTAATACACCCATCGACGACTTTTGAATAGTTTTGCCTACCCAAAGCTGATATCAGAAAGACGACTACCTGACAAATCAATGGGATCCAAACCTAGGTCTCATGCTAGCTATATATATATATATATATATATATTCAAAAATTATAACAAACAAATTATGAAATCCCTACAAAAATAACCAATTTGTTTCAACACTTCTGTTGTCTTCTCAAGTGATGGTGTTGAAACACCATGAAACAAAATGGTTCAACACCATCACTTGAGAAGACGCCAGAAGTGTTGAAACAAAATGACTACTTTTGTAGTGATTTTATAACATGTTTATGTTATAATTTTTGAATAAATAATATTTGAAATCTACTCTGTATTGAGCACTCTTAAGAATAGTGTTTTTGGTTATTGAATTGTATCCGGTTTCCAATTTCATATAATATATATATATATATATATATATATATATATATATATATATATATATATAAACCAGTTTGCCTGAAGTTTGTGAAAGGTCAAAAAATGAAAAGTGTAAATAACTCTCCATGCAGTTGCATGGAGAGTTGTTTGTGACATATACGTATAGTGCTGCTGTTAAGAAAACTGCTTGATGAAATATAACAGAGCTATTAAGCATATATTAATAAATATACATATTATTCCTCACCACTAACCCTAACTCAATCTTCTGGTGCTGAGTATAAACGGACTGTTACACAATATTGAATTATAATCTGGTTGGCACAATTATTTATTATACTGGGATTACAGTTTTTTTTTTTAATTTGAACATTTTGAAAATTATATTAGACAATTAAAATAAGTGCAATTTTTGTCTATATGTATGTAAACAAAGAAAATTAAAAAAATTATATATTTGAGTGGGGAATATACATATTTTAATTTTTTTTAAATTATAAAATTTAAGGGAGATTACTTGTTCATATTAAAACATGAATATGTATTTGACAGTAATATATTAAAAATAGACCATAATTATCATTATAAATAACAATTTAAAAATGAATTAAAAATAAAAGTTAAAAATTAGAATAAAAAATTCAGTTTTTTAATTTTAACGTTATTTTTAATTAATCTTTTAATTGTTATTTATTTACTGTTTACTGAACTAAAAAAAAAAAAAAATAAATAAATATTTCTGCCAATAGACTTTAATCAAATTTTTATTGATGCAGGACAAACGTGTATATGTACTTGTGTGTGTGTGCGCATATATGTACATATATCTATGCATGAATGTGTGTGTGTGTGTGTGTGTGTGTATATATATATATATATATATATATATATATAGATATGTGTGTGTGTACGCATACACATGTATTTAGACAGCAGTTATGCATGAATAAAAATTTGATTAAAGACTATTGGCAAAAATATTTCTGATTTTTTTAGTTAATTCAGTCATAAGTTTTCTCATATGTAAAAGAAAAATAATTCTCTGTCCATGATCTTTAACCAAACTTGAATAAAAGTACATTGCTGTAGCAAATTGGTTAGTAAGCCAATGTCACAGACCATTACCAGAGTAGTAGTGCAATCATCACTGGGTGCCACACAATGATGGCCTTGTACCATACTATGTTTACTGTGTGTATAGGAAGATAGCAAGACAGATGCATGCATATAGCAGTTATCATCACAAAAACTGAATTTGTCTATACAACACTTTTAAAAAAATGTGTTATACATAAAAACCAAACAATGAGACCCTGAAAATGACGGCAAATCTACGAATACGTTGAGGTAATTAATATTTGATTATCAAACATGTTATGGTTGACCATATTAATATTTTGATGTTTCTCCTTCCATCATCTTCAGAATATTATAAAATTTCATTAATCATGTTCTGAGAATGATGTGAGTAAAACCACACACACCACATACTGTATTTCCAATTTATAATGCACACTTATAATTTCACAAAAAATGTAAATTTAAAAAATAAAAAAAAATAAATAATATCCAGTTGTTGATACATCGAGCCTTTTATAAATTTACATTATTTTAAATTGTAATTATTATTTAATCATTTATAATAATATATGTGAAGGTGCTGAAAAATCCCCAAACTGGCCGAGAACTTTTCATTATCCAGTTGTATATTTAATTCTGGGGTCATCAAGGGACAAATCTGCTAAACAGGTATGTTTAACTGTTAGTCTAGTACCAGTAATCCACCCAACCATCAGGTTTAAAGTACTTTGTTGTAACAAACTTTAAGCGGGATACATCCAAATTCCAAAAGGAGCAGCTGAATGTTACCGCAATTGTATTTTAGTACACAACTAACACCTGTCACATGTTCAACTAGAGGTATTTGAAAGTGCTTTGGTATCTTTTCTGAGAGAAATCAATTTACTTTCATATAAAACCATCTTGTAATACTTAATTCGGTCAGGACACCAGGGACTGAGTAACTGAAATATCTTAGTAGCCAATAGGGTTAAAAGACAGAGGATGGATTTTGGAAAACACGTCTGCCTTATTGTTAAATACAGATGATCTACAAGTTCATTTTTTAGAGTTGCTTTCATGCCTTATGACCAACAGATTTTCTGTTGATATTTACTAAGTGTAGCTTAGTTTAGTACTGGGCTAAATAGCCATTAATGGTAAACTGGAAGACTGTGTTGCACCAATTTTCTTCATGGGGAAAGGATTGGCTGCCATAGAAACATGCCGATATTTATGCTGTCCCTACCCAATAGTAAAGTTAGCACAGTACTTTTTTTGTCCTAACAACTAACCTTGTGCCAATTGAAGCTAAGTAAATATCTATTAGTTAATATGACTAATGTTATTATCAAATCTCTAACTAGCTGTACATACAATCCAGACCATATAAGCATATTAGTCTCAAATATAAATTAACTGGATTTTAATATATAAAGCTTAAAACTATTGGGATATAGATATATGTAATAGTTTACAAGAGAGATAAAAGAGAAACGTGTGTATGTAAGTGTGTGTATATATATATATATATATATTTTTTTTTGACAATAGGTAAACATATTTATGCAGATGTATGTATATATTTGTAAGTATATTATATTATATATATATATTATTTATATTTACCTGTTCCGGAAGAATTCCGCAATTCCCCGGCTGTAGAAAAAATTGCAGGAATTTAGGATACCCAAAATAATAAATTCAAATCCAAATTAAAAATTGGTCCATAGATATTCTGCAGAAACTTAAGGTGTACAAACAAAAATAGAACGAATATATGTATGTGTATATATATATATATATATATATATATATATATATATAAATATAAAATAAATAAATAAAAGCAAAAAATATAAAAATATTCAACTTTGTAAAAGAAGAGAAAGAAAAATCATGCAATATGTATTCTTATCTTTAAAAATGGTCAAAATAAGAATTTAAAAATGTATCAATGTCAAAATTAATTCTTACTATATTAGAACAAAAAAATTTGATATGTTGTAAAACAAAACAATTTTTAAGGAATCTTTGGCAAAGAAAAGAAATTCATATTCATCTGAGTTTTGTGGGTAGAGATGCTTATTAAATTAGCAGCTGTTTTTTACTATTATATTGCTATACATTGAGTCATTTGGACTGGTTTCCTTGTGTTTGTTGGTTTCAATGTTCCTGTAAGATTAGCAAATCTCAACAGACACCCAAGGAAGGTTGCACTATATAACATTTGAAATATTGCAATGACAAAGAAACTTTAATATTGTTGTTTGACAACATTTTGAATGGTTCATTCCCTAGGTTTTATTCAGATGAATGCATCCAGTGCAGAGTCTTATTGAAATTAAATTCTGGGCAAGATCACATATCTAAACCAAAGTGTGCAGAGGCAATTATACTCACTCAAATAGACTCCCTGAGGAGTGTGGGGGCCAACAGCTGTCTGAGCTTTTGGCATTGCTGCTATGGTTTCCATAGCAAGTTGTAGGTTTTTATAGGATGGAGTTGCTAGTCCATTGCCCCACCGGTTTTGAATTCAGAGTTGTTGTTCTCTTAGGCTAATTATAACAATTGCCAAAGAACCATGTTTGCCCAAATATTTAACACAACCGGAGGAGAAGAGATGGATTCATACATTTGCAAAGGATATTTGCATCAAAGTAAATGCAATGAACTCAAATGGAATTTGAACTTGGCACTCAGATCTCTCATCCCAAGTTGCTATCCATTACACCACCCATACAGGCACAGACACACAGAGATGGAAGGTCGAAAGCGGGGGGGTGGGAGGTGGGGGGGGGGTTAGGGGTTGGTTGAAAAAAAAAAAGCCTGAAAAATACCACTATGGAGAACAAATTTATGGCGGTGGTCATAAATTACTGAATGCACTCAATTTTAATAAAGTTGCTTTTATTGTTACCATGTAATCAATTTAACCTTTAACATTCTAGAGGTGATTCTGTTTGCAAAGCAAAAATTTTATCCTGCCACTGCAAGTGACTCAGATGAACAAATGATAGCGCATTTGAATTTTGCAGTTGTGTTGTTATCTCATATGAAATGAGTCCCATATAGTTAATGGCAATCAGAGACAGAATGGAGAAACTGACATTAATGGCATTGCGAATATTGCAGCTGCTGTGAATGAGGGTAAGGCCAAACACAATGATGCTTTCAGTAGAGATGACAAAAGGACCACTATTCAGGTGAGCCATAGTTGTACCTGCAGTTTGTTCAGTCTTTTCATCATAAAAAGATCTATACAAAACGGGTTTATAGAATGCTGTTAGACATCCTGAAAGAGTAAAAGGTGCACCCTCAGAATTTCATTAGTGTGAACCAATAAAGGAGTCACACAGAGGACAGCAGTTCACTAATGATGAAGGATGGGGCAATTTGCACATATGTTAAAATAATGAGTCAAGAAGCTTCATACCAGCCCCTCTCATTGTGCGGTATTTGTTAGAAATTAGAGGGGAAGAAGCCTCTCCAGGCTGGTATTATAGGTTGATAAATATGCAAATTTGTATTTTTCTTGACCAATCATTTGGTTGATTTTGTTTAGTGCCATATCAACACCTCTATGGGTTATTTAATACCAAAATCTAAATAATTTCAGTGCAATTTTGCTTCAAATAAGTATATTTTTAACGCAAATGTATGCCCTCAACTAAATATATTTATTAACGCAAATGTATGCCCTCAACTAAATATATTTATTAACGCAAATGTATGCCCTCAACTAAATATATTTTTAATGCAATTGTATGCCTTTAGCTAGAGGTAAAATGTATTGATGGTAATTTTTTTTTTATAGAAAAATATATTTTTATACTTTCATAGTGTTGTTTTTGTTAATTTGCTCATGGGACTCTAACAGGTGCTACCACCTCAGGTCATGGTGGACCTGGGAACAACAGAAATTAAGAGGCAGTTCCATGCTTCTCAAAACCTCCAGTCTCCCGATCAGAGGCCTTGCTGCCAGATGTAGTTTATTGTCATACTCAGTACATGGCCAATTGTAAGTATCACAAGCCAAGTAGACAGCGCTTTAAAAAATGCTATATTTTTCTGCCAAAGGTTAGTAGTGATTCTCCTTTAGGTAGCTACAAGTGAGGTGGGCGACTCTTAAAGGATTTTTATAACTTTATGGCTGTTTGAAATCTCCTTTGTTCTTTGTAGATTGAGAAGAGAATAAACTATGCTGAAGACTAAATGTGGACTTTTGTTTTCATTCTGATATGATTTCTGTGTTAAATCTGTTGTAACTAAAACAGAACAGGCAATACTTCCCCACCCCCACTCTTTACAATTCTCATATATATATAAAAAGTGAGAAAAGGAAGAGGGGAAAAAAAAAACCCGGATACAAACTAAAGGGGACTAATAAATTACTTTATCACACTTTGGTCAAATCTGCAACGGGCATCAAATCAGGGAGATGCAATCCTCAGATTGCCAATAAAATTCTGCACCTGACATATTCATCGAAAGGAAACTGGAAAATGAAACAATCAGAAAATTGATAAAACAAAAACAACAAAGATGAGGATGACAGAATATGTTCATGTGTTTCTTTGTACTTATCTACCTACCTCTGCATTCTTACATAGTGTTTTAATACTTTTGTCACTCCCTCAAAACCAGATATCCCTTACTACCCAAATATCCATTCATAGTTAACATTTCCTCTTTGCTATGATTGTATTTATCATCAATGGAAAATGCTGCTAAATGCATTTCATGAGATTTTCTGATTTCAAAAAAATTTACTCTCCAAACATTTTCTATCAAGTCTTGAGTATATGTGACATGTAACCTAAATGTTTGATAAATTTGAACCCTGTCCACATACCAAATATAGTACAGACTATTTGCTTATAATCTTTATGAGCAGTACTGTAAGACAGAAGTTCATATGGGCAAAGGGCCTACTTTGAAAGGGGGGAAAAATTCTAGCAGGAGGTGGGTGTGAACACTAATCATGGTTATATTTTAACCCAACTACATTGAACCCAAAATTAGCCCCTTTATTTTTTTTTTTATCCACTGACTTTACCATTACTCTTTCCCTCTAATTCTAGTTATTTTTTGTGTCAACAAACTAAATACTTTTAGTAATCAGGATATGATAAAATACCAAAATTTTACAATTTCCAAGCTAAAATTTATTTGAACAGGTTCGGTGATCAACATGTATGTTTTACATGATGTAAATATATTACTAATGATTTTACCGTACCATTGAAATGAAAGTAATATACTTCTTATTTTACTGTCTTTAAGAGTTTTTTTCTCAAGTTCATTTGCTTTTGGGAATTTTATAGATGTTCAATATTTCACAGCTCTGCTGTGTTTTGATACTTGTCAAAATCAATGCCATCCAATCTTGATCTAACAGTTCAAACTTCTTATTTGATATCAAATAGTATTTAACACTCTTAATAAAATTAACTTAAACAACAGCGAGAGAGAAAGAGATGACTATCAAAAAGAGTGCCCCAATGCATTATGGGAATTTCAGTTTCTTCTTATAACACCATTCAAACTTAGGAAATTAAACCAAACTATAAATTTAAAAAAGAAATTAAGACTTGTGCCTTGATTGGAAATAAATAAATCTTAGAGACTAGCCCTCTAGATGTTCACATCTTTACATGTCGCTATCATAAAAAAGAAAAAAAATGTGATAATCAATAGATGTGAAAAGACAAATACCTTCAAATATATGAAATTTCAACAATAAACTCAAATTCCAATCAAGTGCATCAAACAGGCAAAAGGAGAGAGAGAAACCAACACATTTCAGGAGTTGGCAGTATAAAGATGTTGTTATGAGTTTTCATGTGTTTTTCTTTTTCAGAATTAGTATATGACTATTGTTAATGTCACTTTAATATATGCATATCTGAAGACTATATAATCTTGCATATGTTAGGGGTATACCAAAATCTTTAAAATCTTGTAGCTCTTAGTAAATTTTGTCTTTTTACTATTTTTTGTAATCCCTGTTCTGCCCTCCAGTTACAAAAGCTTCTTAGGTAGGATATGAACTGCTTTCCTCTTTGTCTCTTGCCTTCAATATGTCCTGTAAGTGTCGAATTTTCCAAGCCCTCCTTCCTCATTATGTGCCCTAGAAATTCCAATTGTTTCTTTTTGATGTTAAGTGTCTTTTCCTAATAATTATTCTTGGATAATAATGGTCTTCTCAGCATCTGTCTGTAGAATCACATTTCTGTTGCTTCAAGTCATCAAACTAACTGGTGTTGAAAAACAGTTTTTTACTAGAAAATTTGGCACATGCTTAATACAATTGAGAAAAAAAAGATGCTTATTTAGAAAATTTTTTATTTTTAAATTTTTAATTTTTTAAAAAATTTATTTTTCTATTTTTATCCCTTAATGATCATGACTCCATAATGTTTTTTTTTTTTTTTTAAATCTCTGAGCCACCATGACTTCTTATAAAAGACAGTGGGGTGTTTTTCTGTTGCAATGTCCAGTTAGAGAGCTCAGTCTACCCGATTATTTAATTTAAAGCGGGAAGAAAAGAGATAGACCCATGTCTTTTCTGAGGATATTTGTGTGAAGGTGAATGCAATTGACTATCCTGGAATTTAAACTTTGCTTGGCAATTCCACTTTTTATACTGTTATACTATGCACATATTTATTTCTTAATATTTAAAATTTATAATTTTCAATAACCTTATAATTTGTTCAACTTATATGTACATAGATGTATATCACATGATGTGTGTGTGTGTGTGTGTTTGCAGAGGATGTACTTTATAAGATAAATTATAGTGTAACCACTGACAATTTTCTGTTAACATATGTCTAGACTTCAAATCGAAATTTATTTTCTCCTTATTTAATCTAGCTTATTTTGCAAAGTAGCCCCAAAAAGATGCAAGAGCTATTCAAAATTTTGTCGTACCTGACTTTCAAAAAAGCCTAATCTAGCAAACCTGATTGAAGAATTTACTTATTTACACTAAAAAAAGAACTGGAGAGTTGGGAGGGGAGGAGCCAAAAAAAACCCATTAACATACTACCAAAAAATAGTAACATACCACTAGGAAAACAACCAATTTCTATAAATAAAGATGACCATTTAAAAAAAAAAACGTGCTACCTAACACTCCCTTCAACTTAACTAGTAAGTTATTTAGGACGGGTGTAATGATGCCTAATAAAGAAAAATAATTCCCACCTTTTCTTCTATTGATTGATGATTGATTTGTTTTTTTACAGTTTATCAACCTTTTGCAGATAATTAAAGAAAATATTTTTATATTGTAAATTTTTTTTGAGATAATGATTTAATGAAAGAATTTTTACTAATTAACCCATAGCTGAGGGGAGAAGCAGATTCATACAAAATCAGGATTTGATAAACAAACAAGAAATTATAATGTGGTTATAAAGTAAGGGGTCAATTCCATATTATAATCAACATATAAACTGATCCCTCACTTTGTGAACACAGTAGTTTCTATACATTTATTTCCAAAGAATGTAAATTAATCTAAAAGACTTGCCTGTGAACCTAGTCAGTATTTGATTGATAGATTGATTCATTTTTTATGGCTTATCAACACTTTGCAGGTTATTTAAAGCCAGGAAATATTTTTAGATTGTAAGAATTTTTTTTTTTTTTTTGAGATAATAATGATTTAGTGAAACAAGTCTTAATAATTAACCCATAGCTGGTGGGGAGGATAAGAGGTGGATTCTAATCATTCCCATGGGTATTTGTGTGTAAGTGAATATAACAAACACAATGGAAATTGGGAACTTGGCAATCCGATTAACAGTTCCAAGCCATTATATACCAGCTGCACATCCAATCTTACCTGCACCTGGTCTTCCAAAGTGGTCATACATCTAGGTAATGACCAGACTTGACACTGCTTTACTTCAGTGATCATACGGGAACCAATGTTTAAACGACATATGGCCATAAACCTTTTTCTTCTAGTTTACAATTTGTTTCAGATACAATGATTTCAAATGTTTGTAGATGCATATAAGAATTTTTTTCTCATGCAGGTACGTCATATATCCATTTTTTTTTTGTCACTACCGTGTTTATTGCTGTTAGAGTGTAGTATTTTTGAGCTACATGATTTACTTCTTCGTCATCTTCAAGTGCCATACACTTAGCATCTGTATTTCCATTGCTGCAGGTGTATTGTATAACGTCTGTTTTTGGATTCTAACCAATAATACTATTTATATATATCTTGAATTAAATTATTAGATGAAACATTGTAAACTATTTTTTTTCATCTAAATTTTAATTGCTAGTCATTAATTACTCTGTTGAGAGCTTTAATAGCCAGTGAAGGTCAGAAATAAATTTAAGCCCTCAGTGAGATTTGACTTGCATCTCTTTTGTCTCAAGGAGCCTGTCTTTCAGTAACAGCTGCTCTTACCACTTAAGCTACAAGAACTTTTATGTTCAATAGATTAAATCTATCTAACCATATGATTTCTTTCTCTCCATTGTTCAGAAGAAGATGAGTTTTCTCTCCATTGCTACTTTGGCCACTACTAATTAGTAGTAATATTAGTTTGTATCTTTTTATTATTATCATCATTATTATTGGATAAAGCATTTTGACTATTTTTCATTAGTATTTCTTTCATCTTTTTCTTGTAACTACTCAGACCATCAGTCTACAGATATTTGTAAGCAACACAGAGCAGAAAAAAGAATAAGAGCCACAAAGTTGAGTAGTTACTATGAAAGTAACCGAAATAATTTGTGATAAGTACAAAATTTTATTAGAGCATTGCAAACAGACATTTTAAAAGCATATATAAACACAAATGTATTAAATAAGGTTGAGTAAGAGCAGGGATAAGAAGAAAAAACATTATTACTCACTGTTTAGTGATAGATTGAAAAATATACCAAAAATAAAAAAATTAAAGAGGCTAACTGGCTAGCACTCCTCACTCTTCCGAGCTCAATCAAGAATAAAACAAATATAAGCACAATGACTAAAAAAGGTGGGTAAACAAATTTATTATACACATATTTATATGTTTTGGCCTCAAATGGCTCCAAAGAACAAGGAGTAATAATTGGTTGGTTAAACCTTTTTTTGTTTCTACCTGAATTTCTGTGATGATAAGTTATTATTTACATGCAGACTATTGTCCCAACCTTTGTTGTTGTTGTTATCACAATGTTTTGGTTGTTGTGTCCTCCGGCTTTAGTCAACATACATCTGTTGAAGACTGGAGTGTACAACTGCCGAAATGTTTCCATAACAAAGATGAGGATAATAGACATTTTTTTTAATCATTTTTTCGCTATATTTTTCAATCCAACACTTTACGAAGGATAATAATCCCCCATCACTATCCTTGCTCCTTCTTTTGCTTTATATATATATATATATATATATATATATGCACACAGACACACTTTACAAAAAGTCTGTTTTTAAAGCCCTAAATAAAATACAAGGTGAAAGAAATATTAATGAAAAATTAATAACAGTAAATAATTATATATAATAATAATAATATAATAACAATGTAACAACTAATACTGTTAGTAGTGTCCATAAAAAGAAGCAAAGTACCAAAAAATTACTGATGGTAGTGATTAATATGGTTCGATAGATTTAATCTATTATCTGTAAAAGTTCTTGTAGCTCAAGTGGTAAGAGCAGCTGTCACAGATAAGCAGACTTTCTGAGACAAAACAGATGCGAGTTCAAATCTCATTGAGAGCTTAATATTTATTATTGATCCCCAGTTTAATAACAGCACTTAAAGATCTAAGTAGTTTTGAGGAAAAGTAATTAAAATTAAGATGAAAAAAATACTATCAGTAAATGTGTTTAAATTCACTTCTGTCCAATAACCACACATCCAAGAGCACCTAGTTAGAGGCTAACTAACAACAGACTGTGAGATTAGCAACTTAACAGTCATTATAGATTTGTTACATGAAACAAACTTGCACTAGGTCTAATTTACTGAGCACATAATTAAAAAGTTTATTTCTAATTTGACAATCACAAATCAGTATCAGTGGGAAGAGGGGGTGACTTGAAAGGAGATTTGACAATTTAGGTATGGTGTCATTTAAAACACTGCTTTTGACAATGATAATTTAATTATATATGGCTCATGTCTAGAGTCATGGGAGCAGCCAGTGAGGGACAAACTCCCTTGCAATGGATGAGCAAGGTGACCATTGCTCTAAGGCAGGTGACACTCAGGTAGATTTGTTTTACTAAGTTTGGGACAATGAACCAACTCTAATTGTTTGTGAGACTCCCATCTTTATCCCTGCGATGGCGATGATACTAGTAGTAGTAGTATTGACAGAGCAAGCGAAGAAGCTTGTGTAGATTTAATACCGAGACAATTACTTACCTATGTAGTATTTACTTTCTATATCATGTTTGTTCATGAGTTCAAGGAGGCGCACTTCAATTTGCGCCTGGTTCAGGAATGGCTTCTTGTTTTTAATAATCTTCACTGCAACGTATTCTAGATCCACATGATCGTAGGCCTTCACAACCTGCAAAGAAGAAAACGGAAAAGTTATATGTCACAATAAATATTAACTGATGTATCTCGTATAATTGCAAGATAATTTTTTTAATGAAAAAATACAGAGAAGAGCTTCTTTATTTACCATCAGGCAAGTATTTTCTAAGTCCAGGTGTTTGTAAGTAGGTAAGCAATAAAGATTGTATTATAATTCTGCTTGTTGCTTAGTTAGTCAGTAGGTACATTATGCTGTGCCACTATCTCATAAACAATAGACTATTCTGTTTCAAGTGAGAGGAACGATGGAAAAGACATATCAGGAATGCTGTTAGGTTTCAGTGAGAAGAAAAAAAAATAAAAAAGAGAAGATAGAGGAAGCAGTAATGGTGACATGTGTTTAACGTCTGCTTCAGTGAAATAGAAAGACTTGTTAATTTCAAATCTTTTCATTTGTTCCTTCTTACTTCTTCAAAATAATGACATGCATTCCCACCTATGATTGTTATTGCAACATTTTGTTAAAGGTGTTTAATTCAAATATTTAATGATGTACTTCCCCAGGTACTTTATGGTCATATGACAAGAAGCTTATTGAATCAATAATTTAATTTGGCTGATTTCATTTAGCGACATATCAATATTTGGAGTAAACTTTTGAACAAAGTTTTACGCCTTCAACTACAGATAAAATGTATTGTTAGTCATTTTGCTATAAAAATGTATTTTGATATTTTCATAGTGTTTTGCTTTCGTTTAGTTGTTCACTATTTGTCCATAGCTGGGACCCTAATAGGTGCTACCACCCCGGGTTAGGGTGGACCTGGGAACACCAGCAATTAAAAGGTGGTACCATGCTTCTCAAAACCTCCTGATCAGAGTCCTTGCTGTCGGATGTAGTTTATCATTATACCCAGGAGGGCTGGTTACCAGGTAATATCAATGTGAGCAACCAAGAAGGACCCTGAGAGTGATATTAAAGCAGCATCTTAGAAGTAGTGACTCAATCTGGACAGAATCTAGGACCCTAGCCGACCATGGCTAGGGTCCTAGATTCCGTCCAGATTGAGTCACTATGATAGATGGTAAAAATTTGTAGGACCTAATTACTAATTAATGTCTTATTTCAATTACATTGAATTTAAAATTATAGACGGTGCCCATAAAGTCCTTGGCAATTTAAATTACTTGTAACTTTGTAACTATACTTAAAAGAAACAATCTGTAAAAAGGCTAAGAAAGTTTGATATGTTTAGATTTTTCATGTTTTTGGAAAATTTATTTATTATTTGTTTTACCAATTATTTCTTTTCAATTTCTTGAAACTTCAAAAAGTTTTTATGTTTTGCAGAATTAATCTTTGGCTTCATTTGATTTCTTCTTATAGGGATATGCGAAAAGTAATGTTTATTCAACTAAACCTCGACTTTTTTTGCAGAATTGCAAGATAGAATAATTAATGTGATTGAAGGTATTACTGAAAATCAGCTACAAAATGTTTTCCGAGAACTACAGAATTACCCTTTGTATGTGTAATGAAACAATCCCAATAATAAATTTAGAAACAATTTCTTTCTTTGCCTTTTAACAAATTGTTTCTATCATGGATAGTTACAAAGCTACAAGTTACAAAGCTACAAGTTACAAAGCTACGACACACTGTTTTCCAACTGTATCTGTTATATGAAGCATTTCCAGCCCTAAATTCAGAAAAAAGTGATTTTGTAACTTTTTAATTTTATCATCATCATCATCATCAGATGAAGTATTGTCAACTATTTATTCATTTTTGACAAACACTAACTTCCATCAGATGAAGTGAAGATTGTCAACTATTTTTCTTTTTGTTTTTCATTTTTTTTTCATTGAAACTACTGAGTTAGCTATTTTACACGTGCTAAAGAAACAGTACAGATCGTAAATAAGAAAAATAAGTACTTGGTGAGAATCAAAGTCATATCCCCTTCCCTCAAGGAGCCTGTCTGAATGAAGGAATGACAGACTGAGTAGGTGAGATGAAAAGCAACTGAAACTGTGATGTATTGACCTGATTTGCATCAATAAGGCTGGAGTTTGTGAGGTAGCCTATAAACACCAATGCAAGCTAACCAGAGCAGGTCAGGTACGAGTACAGATATAATGGCATTTATTAATTCTGTTGTATGTTTTTTTTTGGTTTTTTTAATAGTTCAGTAGGAGAGTATCCAGTAGCGGATATTTCTTTTTATTGAAACTTTATTCAGATGAACTTTACAAAGTTCATGAAAATTATGTTTCTTTTGTTTTTTTAATATTTCTAGCTTAAACTATACGTGCATTTGTTAAGCAGGTTCATGCAACACTGACTAGAAAATGTCAACTTTCAAGGAATAAAAACAAATGCTAGGGGAGGAATCTGGGTTTAAGTTACACTCATCGAGGGCGGATCAATATGTTGATAGCTTGACATAATATTAGCTGAATTTTGATCTAAAATTTTCAAAACTCAAATTTCACTGAATATTGATCCCTGAATTAAGTGCAGTGACAAGGATGATGGGTTGTTGAAAAATAAATATATTTTTCACCATCAGGCTATGTTGTACCTACATAGATATATGTAAATAGTTTATTAAAAGCCGGCACATATATTTGTTCGTAGCAGTAATATTTAAATGATTAGCTACAAAACAACTATTAACAGAGCTTCTCTGTGTGTCTTTTTTTTTTTTTTTTAAAGTTGATTGCCTACACACACACACACACAACCACAGTCGGGATCACAGTCATTGTAAACTCCACAATACTTTCATTAACTGCCATAGCATGTGCTTTGCCAGGGCTACATGTTTTTTTTTTTTTTTTTAAATTCAGAATTGTCATTCTCTTAGACAAGTTGCCACCCAAGGCTGAAAAGCCCCGTCTACCTTACTATTTACCCTATAATTGAAGATTTTGAATCCAGAGTTGTCCTTCTGAGACTGGTCACCATCTGAGGTTATAGGACCTAGTCTTGTCGTGTAATAGTAAACAAGCCGGGCTCATAGTTCATTAGTGGTTGATTCAGTTCTCACTGGGGGTTCCATACCTGTGGCTTTGGCTTTTTTTCATCTGATCATTTGCCCACTATTATTCTGATCGATTTGTTTTTTTTTTCTGTTGGTTATTTAAAGTAGAAACATTCTTAATTGAAAGAATTTTTTAATTTTTTTGAGTGGATATTGCAATAACAATGCTTTTAAAGATACAAGCCCTACTATTCTACCTATAGCCTTGCAAGAGAAAAGGTTGATCCATATCTTTGCCAAGGATATTTATGTGTAAGTGAATATAACAAACATCTAATGAATATATGCTTTATTGTAAATAAATATAGCAAATTTTATATATATATATATATATATATATATATATATATATATATATATATATATATATATATATATATATGTAAATTTTGGGATCTTACCAAAAACTTATAACAAAAGTTGGAGCATGCTAGCAGGGGTCAGTGCAAGGGTCTTGTATGCACTCTCCACTCTACTACATCTCGATTTTCAAAAGGTAGTATTCATATAAAATACAATTTTTTTTTTGTAAACTAATTATGTACAATAATGGATCATATGCAATATAGATGAACAAATCAATAAGAAAAATTAAAAATAAATCCTATGTATCTAAATACAAATTAGAGATATGTCATAATAGATCATTCTATCTTTAATAAATCAACAATGTTTTGCAGAAATTTTAACATTAACATGAAATTTTTCTTGTTAAAATGGTGAATAATTTTAACAATTTCAACATTATGGATAAAAAAAATAGTGAATTTTACATAGTGTTTCTTCAAGACTTAGTATGAGCAAACCAACTTCATGGATTTGTATGAAAAAAAAAAAAAAAAAAAAAAAAATAAATCCATAAATTTTTTTTGTTCTTTAATAGTTGTATTTAGTATAATTTGTAATGTATATAAATGCAAGCAGAAAACAGCAAATGCTCATAAGATAGTGAGGCTCACAATGTTTGGGCCACCAATCGGAAAACCCACCCCACCCATTAGGGTGGGTTGTTGGGTCGGGTTTAGTACACACCAGGATTTCTTGTGAAGACAGTTAGCCCCCGGGAGGAAAAAAATACAAAACAAATAAAAAATAAATGAATTATATCTGAGCGTTTTATTTTATTCAATATGCAATATGCCATAATGCGGGCTGACTGAGGCCACACCTCTTGCAAGGGGTTGTAGCCACCGTCTGCATATATAAATAGGCGTGAACGAGGGAACTGACCTATGCTAAGGGTTTACAGAGGCGTGGTTATTACTCATGTGCTGTCAGTGGAGCTATGTTTCTCCTCATTTTAGATGGGAGCAGTTGCTCAGCTCCAGGGATTCCAACCATGTGGCAGCACCTTCCTCATTGCGTTAAGAGAGGTGGAGTCAGTATAATATCAATGCTAATGGGGGCTGGAAAAAACAACATGTATGGGGGCTGGAAAAAACAACATGTATGGTGCCCTCCACGTTAAAATGACCTTGTGTCTCATCTAATCTTGGTGGATACTTATGACCGGTTTATTACCATGAAACATTTCGTAATGCATGTGCTTGGTATGTTTTTAGTAAGATTTAAAAAAAAAAAAGTAACATTTACACTATATATAGGTTTGTTTGACATAAGCAATTGTGTATTAAGCATTGTATAAAAAAATAAAAAAAATTGCCTGTGTTTGGTTGAATTGTATTTCTGTTTAATGATTATATCTTTTGATAGATTTTATTTTTATTAATTCAAACGATATTTTTTAGGGGATACCCTTATTTGAATAGAAAGCTCTGTTTATTTTAAACAGTATTTTTATTAGCCTACATATGAAAGAAAACTTACTAAAGAAATGTATCCTCTGGCAAGAATTGAACCTGTGTCACCCTTTACAAGAGGAGCCGTCATATGATCTAGCATGTTTTGATCGCTTGGTTAAAAGAGCTTCACAATCATGCAAGGTTCTATTTTTGCATATAAAGCACATTCACTTTTCCAGATTTTTCTCAAAATGCATATCTACGAAACAAAGTAATTTCTAAAGAATTGATTGATATTTTTTTTTTATTCAATGCAAGTTCAAATCCTGCCAGAGGGCATATTTTCTTTTAAGTTTTCTTCACTTCATGTGCCGTCAGATAAAATAAACACTGTTTAATGGGCTGTCTACTCAAATATGGGTATCCACTGGAAAATGTTTGAAGTAATATCACTATTTGGCACAATTTTCTCACTCTGCACTATTTTCATTATATATATATATATATATATATATATATATATATACATACACCCAAGTATATGATTTGTGTATACGGAATAAATTCCAATAAGCAACGATTACTATTCTTAAAAGAGTGCTCAATACAGAGTAGAGCAGATATAATTATTTATTTAAAAATTATAACATAAATATGTTATAAAATCACTACAAAAATAGCCATTTTGTTTCAACACCTCTAGTGTCTCATCAAGTGATGATGTTGAATGTAAAAAATGGTTTTAAAAGTTTCAAATTAATTAACGATCCTCCGCAAGAGGAAACACTGTTAAAAAAGATAGAATGACCAATCAAAACACAAGTATAGGAAAATTCAAAAAACTTGACAACGAAGTAAGGTTATAATAGCTATTAAGAGCTTTAAAGTTGGGGTCATACTAAAAAAGAATTTATTCTAATCAATAAGTATTAAATTATATGATAAAATAAAATTAAAAGTAAATTATATGATAAAATTTGATATTAAAATTAAAAGTAAAAAATTACCAATTTTATAACATATTTATGTTATAATTTTTAAATAAATAATTATATATATATATATATATATATATATGTCAATCATTATCTGCTGTTGTCTGGATTCTTCTTCCATTGTTCTTGCTCTTTAATAATGATTTTTTGTTTCTTATTTTTTCACACTCAATAATCCCTTATGCCTTTGCAGAGATGCTGATAGGTGCATGTCCTGCGTCCATGATGCCTAGAAATTTTAAAGAACACCGTAACTTCCCATTTGTGCATCACAGGGATGCAACTAAAGTTTACCATAAAAAACAATACATTGCACAAAACCAACCCATATAACCATTATGACATAGTAAAAGGGATTTGTTGTTGGTCGATCCTAGGTAAACAACATCAATTTTAATTTAAAATGTAACACTCCAACATTCTTTCTCTGACTGAATGCAAACAGTTTGTCATATGAACTAGAGATTTGATGGTAATTAGTAGAGAGATGATTTTTTTTTTTTCTAAACATTCTGTATTTTTGTTGTTAACATACTTTTTAAAACCAAAAGTGCAAAACGTTTTAAACAAGCAGAGACATTTGTATTTAACATTCTGTTCACTGTTCAAATAACATTTAACAGGGGGCTCAAAAAATGTCTTCTTCAGACAAAAGAAATTTTCCTATATGGGTTGGTATAGACGGTAGGGAGGCTAATATTTTTTGTAATTTTAAATAATTAACATTGCATTAATCATTTGATGTTATTCTTTCAAATACTTTTTACTAGTTCTTCCTTTCTCTTACTCTTTCCTTCTTTCATTGGATGGTGCGGTTGTCATGTAATAGAGATCAGTGTTGCCTTACCAGATACTTGTATTTTTTTGTTTAAATTTATTTTTGTATTTAATTTAAAAAAAAAAAAAAAAAATTCTGTCTTAATTCTAAAAGAATTTTTTTTCAATTGAACTGTGATTAAGTGTAAATACTGTTTTTGTTTTGAATTTATTAATTTAAAAAAAAAAATTGTTCTGTCAATTTAAGTGTTTCAACATGATTAGAATTGTTTTTTTGGGGATGATAACAAAAAACAGTCTGTAAATTCTGCAGTTTTTATACAACAATTTATTAAGAAACTTTAGTCTGGGACCCATTGAATTTCTCTGGGGCCCAAACTATTTAATAAATAAAAAAGTGACATCTATTTCAAATAGAAATTATTCACTATAATAACATTTGAAGTAATAAAAAAGTTGGATTAAAAATAAATCCATTAATTCTTTATATAGATATAATAATGTATATTTAGGCAACAAGTTTATCTTATAATTTTAAATGGCTACATACATTAGTCTTACCACCACACCTCTTTCTCACCAACTAACTTGTCATATTTCTCAACAGGGTGCAATTTATTGTCACATCAAGTATTTCCATATTCATGATACAATTTTACATCACTCAAAAAATATTAGAAACAATGGAAGCTATCTACATTAAAAGAAAAGTGGTAGGCATAAACAATATTTGCTTCAACAATGGTGACCATGTGCTCAAGTGTTTATAATCTTAACTGCAAATCGACCATGACATTATGTCACACTATATCACATTAAAGACAGATTGTAATTTCAAATTATAACCAATTAATTCATCAAATATTTTTCAAGAGATGTAAACAAAAATCTACTTGCATGAATAACTTACATCTTTCTAAGCCTTCATTCTGATGATGACCGATGGAATGGCCAGAATCACTAGGACTTTCCCTTCCTCCTAATTCAACTATGGATTTCCATTTAATATAAAGTGATTAGCTTGAAACCAAGAAAGGTTGATTAAAAAAAAAACTGCTTTTTACTGTCTATTACATTCAGCTAAACCTGTGTGTGTGTGTGTGTGTGTATATATATATATATATATATATATATATTAAAGACATTTTATGTTTTTTTCTTTTTTATAGATACAAGTATTTAAGTAAATGCTCTGTTTATAATAAACAGTATTAAATGACATTTTCGGCCTGAATGTCCGAGAAATTTTCATAGAAAATATTCGTCCTTTGACAGGATTCGAACCTGCATCCTATATGGAACCGTCATTTACGCTGACGTGTTTAACCTCTCTGCCACAAAGGAGCGTTCGGTAGAAAAAGGTCGAATTTACTGCTTATAAACTTCAATCTTCCATGAATTTCGTACATTCATTTGGGTTTCTGGCATATCAAATGTAAAAAAACAAATGACGTCATATATTAAGAAATGGACAAAGTCGACAATTTTATTTTTAATAACATTTTCCTTTAAAAATTGAGAGGTTAGAAACAAATATTTGCAAATGACGGTTTTATAGGATGCAGGTTCGAATCCTGTCAAAGGATGAATATTTTCTATGAAAATTTCTCGGACATTCAGGCTGGTAAATGTTATTTAATACTGTTTATTATAAACAGATTTTCGAACTTAAATACTTGTATCTATAAAAAGAACGTTAAACATAAAAATGTCTTTAATAAATAAATTGTCGGACTTTTGTCCATTTCTTAATATATATATATATATATATATATCATGAATATGGAAATATATATAAATTTTGATAATCTTTTATTGCATATAGCATGCAACAGACTGTTTACCTCAAAAGTGTTGACTTCTATGTTCACTTTTATATTTACACACACTCTATCTCTGATATTGAGCACTTTATCCCATAAATATTTTTTAAGATTAAGACTATATTTATTTATATATATATATATATATATATATATATATATATATATATATGATGACTCATTCAGTTCTTATGTTTGTACTGTATGTGACATTTTAGTGCTGCTAGTGACCTGCATACAAGTCCACATATCGTGCAACAGCAACAATCTCAAACATAGCAACAGGAATACTTGTTGATGCTTTTCACCGTTGTCTTTCATCTCTTAGCTGGTCAGTATAACCAATTTAAAAATTTGTGATATTAATCTGGCACAAATATTTCCTATTATTTGAGCAATTTGCTCAAAGTTAGCATTGACAGCTAAGAGGGTACTCTTTAGCTGGTCTTTAGCCAGAGCTTTCCAACACATCTTTGTCCACTGTGAAGCTGGCTATACATGAGGGCCTTAGATATTCTGCCGTCACTCATCCTTGCAATATGACCAATCCAGCAAAGTTTGTGACTGCATCAGGAAAGTCACAATTACACCAATGTTGCAATTTGCAAGAATATTGGTATTGGAAGCTCTATCATCAATGGTATAGCTACGGATCGCACGGAAATAACTTTTGTGGACGACATCCAGCTGATTGATATGGGACCTATATGAGGGTTCCATGATTCTCACCCAAACAACCGTACAATTTTAACAAGTGGTGAGTGAACTTTAACTACATAAGCACCATACTCGTATAAATCCCATTTATTTATCCCAATTTAAATGCAATTGCAATGCGTATTGTTTTTACAACTTCTCAAAAGAAATGAGTAAGTGTTTTTGAAAATAAATATATATTACTTACTCTTTACCAAGCCACACCAGTAAATTATACTTACCTGGCCAAAAGAGCCTTTTCCAATTAAGGAATCGATTTCGTATCTGTCCATCCACTTCTCCCCCGGGGTGATTATGTAGTCATGGTTTGTGTCATCATAACCGTCATTATAAACAGGTACGTTCGTACGCCCCTTTTTATGTATTGATTCATCATGTGGCAGTTGTGCCCGGCGTTTCTTCTTTGCATAGTAAACCTGAAAGAAAGTAAGAAAGTAAATATACATTTCATTTCTTTTTTTTAAGCATAACAATTAATATCAACTTCACATCTGTCCAAATAACCAAAAGCCTGAATTTTGGAGACAATCCTTTCTTAGGGGTGAGAATATTTAGCACAGCCTTTTATATGTAAATACAATTTGAACAGTGTACACACACATAAAGTAATACAGTTTTATTTACATTGCTTATGTTTGGACTAATGTCCTCAACTTTGACATTGTTATTATCATCATCATTTAATTCTGTTCCTTAGTTAGCAAATACATTGCATCTCCTTAGGAGCTTGCCTGTCCCCTGCCCACAAATTTGTTATCATTTTTTTAAAGCTTCCACCAAGCACCAATTTGGATGTGTTGAAGCTGTATATAAGTGTTTTTTAAAAAGAAAGGCAACATAGAGGAAGAAATAACACTTTCATGCATTTAATGTCTGCTTCAGTGAAATGCTATAGTAATATGAAATATACCAGCCTGAAATGATTAGTTTCAGTCATAAAAATGAGTAAAAACCATAGAATTAACACAGATTCCACTCTACATATGTTGTAGCATACCTATGAACGATAATGGGTATGTCCCCATTCACATAAATACAGTAGTAAATACTGTATGTTGGTCTGCTGTTGGAGATTTATTATGGAATTCATTTGACTCATTTTTAGCAGTTGACTAATCTTATATGTGTTGTTTGTGCCCTAAGTATTATCGTTCATTGCCAACCTTTGTGTGATTATTCTATTCAGTAACCTTCCTTAGGTTACAACAACATAATTAAAGAAAAAAGATGTCATAAAAACTTAATTGAATAATTAATATATAACACGATATGCAGTATATAACTGTATAGATATTTAATGAATGCTTACAATTTATCCTCCTTAAAATGTAAAGACAATACATCAAGAGTCAACCATGGAATTTCTATGGGCCCAGTTGCTTCTTCTTTGTGATTTTGTAGCTCTTAATAAATTTTGTCTTTTTGTTATCTCTCCTAAACCCTGTAATCATTTTTTTTAAACTTCCATCAAGTACTATATTTGGATGTGTTGAAGCTGTATATAAGTGTTTTTAAAAAGAAAGGCAACATAGAGGAAGAAATAACACTTTCATGCATTTAATGCCTGCTTCAGTGAAATGCTATAGTAATACGAAATATACCAGCCTGAAATGAAACTCACTCACTTTTCACTAATAACTTTCAAAATCTCAAGGTCGGTTATGCATTGTTTTCCTCTGTCCCTCTTGCCTTCAATCTGTCCTGTGAGTAACTAATTTTCCAAACCCTCCTTCCTCATTATGTGCCCTAGAAATTTCAGCTGTCTCTTCCTGATGTTATGTATAAGTGTTTTGTTTCCATTTTCTCTAAAACTTCATCTTGGCTCAAATTCTTAGTTCATGAGAATACCATGGACTGAATATGGGCCCAGCTATTATTATAACAACAACAAAGATGACAATATTAGTCCAAATGTAACTAGACAATATCAGTTCATGAAATCAGTGAAGGAAAAGATGTCAATAAAGCAATAAGGGAAATAAAAAGTCATACATTACTCAAAGAGCACTTTCCAACATTTCACAAATCTTAAGTCTCTCATCAGTACCATTTTTTATTTGTTACTTGGGTGGTAGGCATATCACCTTCCAAAATTCAGGAGTATTTCTTTTTCAAATGTCATGTATGAAGAAGATAATCATGGCTCTCCACAGAGACCATTTTTAATGTATAAATTGCCATGACTTTGCAATAGAACAACTTTCTTTAACAAGTTTCCCCAATTTTATTAAAATACAATAATTCATTGAATTTTGATAAATATTTTTGTATCAGGTCATCCCATAAGTTCTGTCCGAATTTTAACTTTTTGTTAAAATGAACAAAATTTAAAGAGTATTTTATAATGTCTAATGGAGCTGAACATTATTTTTATGTTTAGATGCATTTAAACTGATCAAATTTTATTTCAGAGAACAATAAAATTAAACTTTGTTTGATCAAAACACTGCTAACATGGAAGTACCCAAGAATCATTTGAGGCACATAATGCTTTATGAGTTCAAGAAAGGAAACTCAGCAGCCGAAGCGGCTAGAAACATTCACTCAGTTTATGGAGAGGAATGTGTGAATGAAAGAACTAGCAGAAGATGGTTTGCAAAATTCAGAGGTGGAGATTTCACCCTTGAAGATGAAGATTGAACCGGACGTCCAGTTGAGTTTGATGAAGAGCTTCTTGAAGCAGCCCTTGAAAAAAAATCCTGCTTTATCAGTTGAGGAATTGGCAGTGGTTCTCACTTCAAACCATACAACTGTTCATCGTCATCTTCAACAACTTGGAAAAGTTCCTAAACTTGGAAAATGGGTGTCTCATAAATTGTCTGAAAACAACCTCAAATTCCGAGTTGACATCTGTTCTTCTCTCCATTCTCGCTAACTTGTTACACCTTTTTTTGATAGACTTGTGACTGGCGACGAAAAATGGATCTTTTATCGAAATGTTAAGCGTCGTAGACAGTGGCTTGGTAAAAAGGAAGGACCCCAGCCACAGCCGAGAAGGAAACTTCATGGGCAAAGGGTTCTTCTTTCAATCTGGTGGGATTGCCAAGGAATAATACACTTTGAATTCTTACCACCTAATGCAACAATTAATGCTCAAATATACTGTCAGCAATTAGAGCGTGTGAACCAAGCTTTGAGGTAAAAAAGACCTGCTCTAGTGAATCGAAAAGAGGTGATGTTTCATCAGGACAATGCACGACCTGACACAGCAAGAATCATGTCACAAAAGATCGAAGAACTTGGTTGGGAGAAAATTCCTCATCCACCTTATTCTCCCGATCTTGCTCCTTCAGACTACCATTTGTTTTGTAGCTTACAGAATCATTTGGAAGAAACAGCAAATGTAACACAGGAAAAGGTTAAAACTGAGATTTGTGAGTTTGCCGAATCAAAGCCAAAAGAATGGAATTAGTAAGCTTGTTAATAAATGAAAGGAAGTCATAGATAATCAGAGAAAATACATTGTTGATTGAATCTGTAATTAAATGTAACATTTGGTCACTTGTTTTCTTTATTCAAAATTCGGACAGAACTTATGGGATGAGCTGATAAAAATCAATGTTTTTCAACAAAAAATTTCTGATGCAAATTATTTTTTAATTTCATTTACAGGTAAAAAAAACTCACTTTTCACTAATAATTTTCAAAAGTTTCAAAACTCTTTACTACTGACACAAAGATTTACTTTTATACAAGTTTGTTTCTGGATATTTTGTTTTATTAAATCTCAGTTTAATTTTCCTACTCAACTTCTTTTTTTTTTTATTCATATCTACTGTGTAACAATTATTTCCACTTTTAGATGCATTCTATGTCATCTGGAGATGATTTCAAGTATACAGGAGGATGTGTTTTGGTTATATATACACCTGAAAACTCAATTCATGTACTGGGCACCAAACCTGCTCAGAAATAACTAAACTGTCGGTTGTATACAACCGCTCACTAAGATCAATGGTGGAAAAAAGGCTTTGAACAAACACTATGAAAGTATAAAAATAGATTTTTATACTAAAAATACCAGCAATACATTTTCATATTAAAAAAAAAAGAACTACTTCTAGCAAAACATTTGTTTAAAAATGTATTGCTAGAAGTAGTTCTTTTTTTAAAGAGTATTTTATAATGTCTAATGGAGCTGAACATTATTTTTATGTTTAGATGCATTTAAACTGATCAAATTTTATTTCAGAGAACAATAAAATTAAACTTTGTTTAAAAAAAATAAAAAATAAATAAATACCAGCAATACATTTTTGTAAATGAAATTACTAATGCTCTCAAGAAATTTAGATTCCAGCATTAAATGACCCATAAGAAGTTGATGTGCCACTAAACAAACAAAGGTTAGGAAGGAAACCTCCATCAGTATTGGAATGAGCAATTATTAAAATTTCAACGAATTGTAGTACTGTAGTAATAATAAATATCAAATGTTTCCTTGTAAGGAAACAGCTATTATTACCATATGAAAGTGTTATTGCCTCCTTGCTTTCTTTTCCCCACTAAAACCAAACAGTATCTTTGATATGCCTTTTGCTTTTGTCTTTTATCAAAATCAAAATGGAAGGGTCTATTATTTACCTGAGGTAATAGTAGGGTGTAATACATGTGCTAACTTGCAAACAGAGGAACAAAACTAATTATAATTTGATTGATGTTGTAGTAGACCTATTAAAATTGGTGCAGTGTCTAACCATTTAATAATAATCTATTTTCATTACATTTCCCTATAATTAACATTTTTGTGGCAACAAAAGAAAAAAAAAAGAAAGAGATTATTTGTTTCATTTGCCTTTCTCCATTGTTGGGAAAATATCTTATTTATCGGTCTTTCTTAAAAGCTATGCTTACTCCCTTGCATTCAAATCTTTCATGTCCATAAATAAAAATATAGTGTTGACAAATCTAATAGACCAAGATTATTTTAAAATCTAATTCATTTCATCAATCAGCTGTCCTGTTAATAATGTAATAAAAAATTCCATGGAAATTAAGAAAAAACCATTTAGTTCAGTTGGGGAGTAGTAGTAGTAGTAGTAGTAGTAGTAGTAATAGTAGTAACAACATGAAGTTTTTTTTTTTTGTTTAGTTTTTTTTTTATACACACAAATGTGCATTTGGAAATGTGAAGATCTCATTTGGGTCCCAGAAGCAGGGCTGGTGCAAAGATCTTGTGAGCCCCTGCCTAATCTATCATACGGCCCACCCCTCTAGTCTAATTACAAACATGAGAGAGACATGTCATAAGAAATCATTATATCTAAAATAAATCAACAACGTTTTTTTTTTTTTTTGCTGCAATTTTTAACATCAATTTGTGATTTTTCTCTTTAAAAAGTTGAACACATTTTTTTTAACACATTCAACATAATGGATAAAAAAAATAGTGTATTTATTATAGTGTTTTTTCAAG